TCCAAGGAAACGGACAGACGTCTTCCGGAAGTGCCTATGTAAACCCGGGTTCCTCTTTTTTTCTCTCTTCTTAATAAACAACTTAATTTTTAATAAGTAGTGTATTCTAATGGTTCAGAAATTTAAAATTCTTAAAAGAATGTGGGATGAAAAGCTTTTCTTCTATCCTGTTGTTTTTAAGTAGCTCTCTTTGTCTTGTTATAATGCTTTTTGTCCTGAATTTTACCTTGTCTGATAACAAAATCTTGTCCCATGCTTTCTAAAAAAATTTGTATTAGCCTAATATATCCATCTGGGCAATATTTTCCATCTGTCCATTTCTACCCTTTCTGAATTATTTAAAATTTTGTTCCTATTGGTAGTGCAGAAAGTTTTTCTATCTTATAATCCAGTCTGAGATTAATTGTCTTTAAATAGGTGAGTTTAACTCACATTTGTTGTCATGGCAGATATATGTGTTATTAGCTTGCCTGTATTTTATTTTTTTTAAATATCTTTCAAAGAATCTTTCACTGTGTGGTGTTTTCCTTGCTGTTCTTCTGGAGTTATTCTGATATTTTTGTTCTAGTGGTTGTCTTTATAATTTGACATTATGCCCTCTGTCTTTTAAGAAAGTGATGATAGTTCCCTATTATGAGCAGTGATAAAGTTAATGAATTTCATCCTAGTATGGAGACATCGTAACTATGTTACATGGTCTATTTTATTTAATCTCAACCTCTATTGCATTCTGTTTTCAGAGGACAATTTAATCACTTAGCAAGCTTGGAACTCAGTCTGTATTGTTATTATCAGTAAATACACTGTCAGAAGAGGCCTTGAGTTTTCCTAGAGTAGATTATCAGCCTTTAACAAGGCTTTTTTTAATCTATAAAAATGATAGTTTCTAAAGTCAGCATAGATCATAAAATTGGTAAGCTGACATTTGGTCGCAATTACATTATCAGACTACTATAGGTAGTCTGTTACTCAACACCAGAAAATTACCAGTTTTATATCCAAGTTGACTTTAAAAAGTTCCTGGGTCTGAAGCTCCCCCTCTTTTTTAGCATGGACTCCACACTTGTTGAGAGTCTTATCTCCACTTAACTTTTCAAATCCAGTACATTTGGCAACTGACAGGCATGTAATACACAAAAAGGAATTTTTAAAATTGGAAATCTTAGGAGAGTCCAGCTTTGCCTGCCCCATGTAATGACTGAGCCTCCTCGCGTGTTGACACTAGTCCTCCTGTCTGGCCCAGAGGGGCGGCTGCCTTCCCAGGTCCTGGAGGAACACAGCTTCTGCGGCCTCTTTTCCGTTCAGAAGGCTTCAACCCCTGGTCACAAACAGCCTCTTAAGAGGGTGGGAAGATGTTTTTTTGTTTCTGTTTTTTTAAAATCATTTTTAAAGTCCTGTGTCAATTACTTGACCATAGTTGACTTCCTTACTTTTTTTTTTGGTGGAAAGATTTGACTGCCCACCTCTAATAGAGCAGCTAAAACATGGACTGCCTTTGGAGAAGATTTACATTTCCACTTTGTACTCTAGTCCTGTGATAGTCACCAGTATTTTTCACATAGATGAGTGTTTGTGGTCTGCACTTTGCCTGTGGATCACCCCCAAAACGCTGCTGAAAATACCCTCTCCCCCCCAGCTTCCTGCTGAATTCAGATTGAATTCAATTCAGATTGAATTCAATTCAATCTGAATTCAGATTGAATACATTTGGGGTGTGGCATCTGTGCTTTTAATGCTTGCTGCTGGTGTTTCCCACCCAGGTATTTCCGCAGGCTGCAATTTGAAGATACCAAGATCGACAGTTCTCTGCTGAATATAGAAATTTTACTAATATCCAGTTTGACAAAATTCTCTGGCTGGATATTACTCTTTCTGTATACAGTGTTTCAGGAAGGCTTTTATTTCGAAGATACAGTGATCTGATTTTACCATAAAAAGAAAAAAATCTAGGAAACCAGATTAGAGATTTCACATATAACTCCAACCAGTTTGTGGGGGGAAAAAATTGTAGAAGGGTATTTAACATACAGATTGCAAAATGTTGAATTTAACACTCTTGTAATGCTTCCATGGAAAGCCTTAAGGATAACTGACAAGTCATTTTTTTATCAGATTTAATGGGTTTCTAAATTCTTATCTGCTTCTCGAACAAAATGTTAATTAGAACAGTAATTGAGTTACCAGCTGCCTCGTGTGTTCACTCTAGGAACTTGTACAGAAACACTGTGGGACTCGTGTAAGGTCACTCATTGCTCTTGGAGTGGCTAAATAACTTTGCAGCAGGCTTCTAAAAATTCAGGTATTAAGGGAGTCTATAGGAAGATAAAAATTGACAAGAGATTTGCAATAGTTAGTCTGATACTTCCTCCATTGGATTAAGGTGGAAAAATCCTCTTCAGCACCACAGATGGGGGAAAATCCTCCCTTTAAGATTTCTTTCTGAAGCAGCTGATGCCTGCCTAGTTTTATAGTAGAACAGAAAAAGCCTTTGGAGCTAGGTATGCTGGCACAGGCATTCTGGGGGAAAAAAAAACTTAAGAAATCAAGTTTATAACTTTGTTTAAGCAATACAGAGCATCATTACAAGTATAATATATTCCAGGAATGCAGGGTTCATTCAGCATTAGGAAATATGAATAATATGAGGTTAAGTGAGAGGAAACCATATAATCATTTTAATACCTGTAAAAAGAGTATTAGGTAAGATTCAATAATCATTTATGACTAATTTTTTTCTTTTTGCAAAAACTGGAAAACTTACCAAACCTTTGGCTAACGAGTCATTTACTCCAAAACCCACAGCAAATATCATACTTAAGAGTTGAAACTTTGGAAGCATTCCCATTAGGTTCAGTAAGAAACTAAGGATTCCTGTTGGCATTACCTTTGTTCAACATAGCCCTGAAGGTCTTAGCTCGTAGTGCAATGAGATAGGAAAAAGAAATGAAAAATAGAAATTTTTTTCTTGCAGGTGATATTAATATATACACAGACAATATAAGAAAAATGTGTTTAGCATAGTTGCTACATATAAGAATTTGGGTTCATGTACACTAATGATAAGCTTTTAGTAAATATAATAGAAGAAAAGATTCCCTTCATAGTATTTTTAATCTGAGAGTGAGCACAGCCAAAGGTACATATAATATGGAGAAAATAATGGAACAATATTGTTAGATATAAAAGACATGAATAAGTAGAGATCTTATGCCATCTTTAACAGTGGGATCTCTTAATTTGTTAAGATATCATTTCTCTCTAAATTAGTTCATTGCAATCCAGTCAAAAGCCCAATAAGATTTTTGTGAAACTTGACAAAATGAACCTAAAATTTTAAAGAAAATCAAAAGCCCAGGAGTAATGAAGACAATCTTGAAAAACAAAGTGGGGGCCTTGCCACAGATATTGATACCAAGCCATGGAAATTACAATACTGTGGCCCTGATACAGAGACAGACAAAAACATCAGTAGAATAGGATAGAAGCTAGAAACAGTGTCACATGTACATAGGAATGTGGAGGCAGCATTATAAATCAGTAGTAAAAGATGGAATGTTTTATAAATGGCGCTTGGTCATTAATTGATAATCATATGGAAAATAAAAGTGTATTTTCAACTTCACACCATCCCCCCAAATAAATTCGGATTAATTAAATTTGAATGACAAATCTTAAAAGTCTACTCAAATATAAGAAATAATTGAAAATATAAAAAGAAGCATGTCTGGCTTTATGTACAAATCTTGGAAATATAGTACTGAGTGCAAAAGCAAGTTGTAGAAGTGTGTGTATAATAAAGTATTGCTTATATAAAATTTAAAACATGAAACAATACAATGTATTGTGTAAAGATGCTAAAATAAAAATATAAAAACATGCATGGTGGTGATATACACCAAGTTGATGGTAGCATTTACTTCTTTTTTTTTTGTATTTACTTCTAAAGATGGTAGATGAATATGACTGAAAAGGGGTGTGTGCAGGATACATCTGTATCTGTAATTTTTTTAGATAAAAATATTCTAAATAACGTGGCAAAATATTAACATCAAGTGAATGTCCAATAGTAAAGAAATGGTTGTATAAATTATGGCTTTTCCATACTATCAGATACTTTTTAGCCATTAGAAAGAATGAGTTGTATCTAGGTCACTTTATATGGAGGGAATTCCAAGAGTTGTTACTTAGTAGAGAAAACAAGATACAGGAAAGTTTGTATAAAGTCGCTTGATTTTTATGAAACAGTGTATGTGTGAGTATATATGTATATGACATACTGGTATATGACTATATGAACATGAAAAAAATGACAAAGGATTCCTCCTAGGTTGTTACCACGGCTTGGGAGTGAGGAGATTAGGAAAGGAGAAGAGGGAGGGGAAAGGAGAGTCAAGCAAAATACGAAATGGACGAGACAGTGTACTGTCAGCATGGACGATGATTTGATGATTTTGGTTATGTGCTTAGATGAGCATATATACATACATATGTGCCTATTTTTAAAGAAGTGTAGAGCCACTTAAGTAAAGAGTGGGAGTTGACCTAAGAGGAGTTTACTATATTTGACTGGGGAGGCTGTGGTAGAAGAAATGGACTTAGCACAGAGCCAACCAGACAAACATGCCTTTCCGAGGAAAGAAGTACTCAGTGATGTGTTCTCTTGTTAGTGGCTTTAAACAAATGATGCAGTTAAACAGATTGCTTTTCCGTTTTTCTCTCTTTGGTGTTTATTAAAGTACCTGACCATAATTTTAATAAGTTCTTGATAATAGTATGTTTAGAGTACTCACTATGTGCAGGTGATATAAAATACTAGTAGTTAAAGTATAGTATTTTATGAAATGTGGACTTTTGACAGGGAAACCTTAGATTTTTTTTTTTTTTTTCATCTTGGGGAAGAATAATGAATGAGTATTTATTTTGGTCAGGTCAAGGCCTCAATACAGATAGTTCAAGATTATGTATAATTATTTTTTAAATCTTCGTTGTTTTTCTTTCAGTGTGCGGGATGACAGAATTCGAGTAGAAAGGATGAAGAACGTGTATTTTGAGTACAGCCATGCTTTCCAAGAGGTTACAGAATTTTATGCAAAAGATGTAGTCGACATTAAAGGTAAATATTTTATACATGTTAGCCATATGTCCTCAAATGTAACTGAGGTGAGATTTGGATAAAGGTGCAAATTTGACTTAAAGGCTAGTGAAAGGTAGGTAGTTATTGATAAACAACTGGAAGAAGCAGAGGAAAGAGTTCACTGTTCTTACACTCATCAGAGGCATAACTGCAGTTGCTTTTTGTAGTTATGACCATTTTGGTAATGTGATGTTTTTGACATATTCATGAAGTGTAGCAAGTTAATTACTGAGTCATCTTCCTTCTTCCTTCCCTTAAAAGGTGGCCATGATTTTCCTTGCAGTTTTATAAAATGTGTGGATAAATCTCCTAAGGAAGGCTAGCACTTCTAAATATTAATGCCCAGAATTAAAATACCAGAACATTATTGACAGCATCTTAATAGTTTGAATCCATTATTTGTCTAATTCACATTTCCTCAGCCAAGTATCTGTTTGATTTGGTCTGTACCCCTCATTCTTGCCAGTCCAGCTTATGTTAAGATCCATTTTTATCCTGTTGCAAAGCTTTCACCCTTGGACAAAACTCCCCCAGCTCCCTCTTAGGCATCAGTGTCTTATTGGCATTTTCCCGCATCCTTTTTAATCTCATGGTGTCTTGGCCAATGCCAAGGGATCATCAAATTATGCTCAACTAAAGACAAGACTAAGTCACAAAACTACCATAAGCCACTCTTGGCATCCAATTCACCTAGAATCACATAGGACAGAAAATCCAGTTTGCTGGCACAGCACCATTTCTTTTAGCGGGAGGAGTCCTCTCCATCTCTGCAGAAGTCCATAGGGCGCTGAACTTCCCGGCATCCTCTAGTGACAACTCAGCTGCAAAGAAAGCAGGTGGATGCAAGATCTGCCTACAGGAAACCTTAGCTCTTGCTGGAATTTCTCCAAAGGACATTCCAATTTCAAAGAGTCAGTGTACTGAAGGAAGGCCAAAATTCTAGAATCAGGTCATTCCTCTCCTAGTCTGGATGCAGTTTCCTGATTTCAGGTCATTTCAGCCATATGCAGTGCCACCTCGTAACACATTGGCATTTCATCTTTATCAGGTTTCCTGGGGAACAGAGCTGGGCAGTCAAAAGATGAAATTCTCAATAGATGAGAAAAGAGTTAATTCTTCATTTACACCTTGTTTTTACAAAAAGCTATGTTGAAAGTAATATATTTTATATTACAAATTTGTAGAGAATATCTTATAATTTTTTTCTAAAGGTAGTAAATATCTACTGCAAAAAAAAAAAAAGATCAAAACATAGTTGTATATAAGGAAAAAGGTAAAAGTCCCTCCTGTCAAATTCTTAAGAATTTTTTGATATACAGGTCTACACATGAGCATGCATAATTCTTCATTTTTATTAAATATGACTTGGATTTATTATTTCAACTAATTTTTATTGAATGCCTATTAAAAGCATTGTTTATACTTTAAGAAATTAAACAAAAATTCCTGCCCTTCTGGAGTTTTTTAGTCTAGTGGAAGGAGGTGTACAATAAAATAGTGTTTGAAGGTGATGAGTTCTTTAGAGAAAGGCAGAGAAGGTCTTCCCTGGTAGCTCAGTGGTAAAGAACCCACCTGCCAGTACAGGTCCTACGGGTCTGGGAGGATCCCACGTGCCACAGTGCAACTAAGCCCCTGCCCCACAACTACTGAGCCTGTGCTGTAGAATCTGGGAGCCGCAACTACCTAGCCCACGTGCCTCAACTACTGCAGCCTACGCACCCGAGAGCCCGTACTCAGCAGCAAGAGAAGCCGTCGCAGAGGAGCCTGGGCATCACAACTGGAGAGTGGCTCCTGCTTGCAGCAACTAGAGAGAAAGCCCACGCAGCAGCAAAGAACCCAGCCCAGCCAAAAACAAATAAACAAACACATTTAAAGAGAAGAAAGACAGGGAAGAGGTGAACTTTTAAATGCAGTGGTGAAGGAAGACCACGCTGAGAAAATGGCAATTGAATGAAGATGGACAAAGATTAGAGGGGTTAAGGGGGAAAAACCGCATGGTTGAGTGAAGAAACAGCTTTTCAGGTGGAAACAACAGTAAGTACAGCATATCTAAGTGCCTGGTGTGTTTAAAGAATGTCAGGGAGCCTGGGTGCTGGTACAGAGTAACTAAGGAAGAGACTTAGGAGGTAAGCTCAGAGATGAAAGGAGATGGAGAGCAGGTTTTGCAGGGACTCTTAGATCCCTATGAACTTGAGCCACATCTCTCGGTGAGTTGAGAGATGTTGCAGGATTTGAAAGCAAAGTAATCTAATGATATGATGTATGTTTTAAAAAGGATTCCTCTGCCTGTTTTATTAAGAACACCCTATAGGGCACAGGGACAAAGGTGGGAGACCAGATGGAAACCTAATGGGAAAGTCCTTCCCAGTAGTAGGTGCATACCAATCTAGAGGTACTAATCTATTAATAATACCCTATTGATATTCAATTAGGTTTTCTGTAATTTTTTACTACTATGAAAGATTTTTCAACTCACTTCCTTGTATACACATCTTTAACAAGCATTTTGGAGTACTTCTGGGTCAAAGCAGATGAGCATCTTACACTTCGAAAATACTTGCTCCTTGCTTTTGAAAGAAGGTTCATCCACCATCAGAAAATTGCCCTTTTTTCATACTCTAGGTATTTATAATCTTCTGTATTTTCCAAAGGGTAATTTCAGGAGTTAAGCATCTAAATGATTATTTCAATAATTATAAACAAAATTTTATTTCACTTAATGTTTGTTTTCAAAAATGATGAATAATAATTTTAATGAAGGTATGTATTCTGTTTTTTAGATTCTCAAAGTTTTTCTGACATCATTAACTTGGAGAAGCCTGTGATTTGCTCTTTGGCTGCCATAATAAGATACCTCAAAGAGTTTAACTTGGAAAAGGTGCTTTCCAAACCCAAGTAAGTGGTTTCTGAAAAAATTTTAAGAAGTGTGAGGTTATATTTAAAAACATTTCTTAAATTGAATTTGATAAGTACTATACTCAGTTACCTGCTCTCGATGGAATACTGTATTCTGGGGCAAGAGTGACCTGTGTGGTATTGTTGCTGAGGAATATTAAAAATGTTAATTGACATAAAAAATTAATAGAAGGCTTAAGAATTGGGTCAGTTTGTATTCATGATTGCTATTGAATGTATTATAGGATTGAGCACAGAACTGTGCTTTATATTAAAGCACAGTTAATTGACAAGTAGTATTAAGAATGGGTATTTAAGAGCGTTCATAAAACTTCATCACCTTTCTTATTCTTGATATCAGTTCTTATTTCACAGACCATAAAGTTGAAGATAAAGAGGATAGCCACTAACATAGACAGCTTTTTAAAAGAGTGATTAACTTTGTAGAGTTGAGAGATTTAAAAGCTGGCGATTGACCTTCTAAGAAAGTGCTAGCTTAAAAACTAGTGGGAAAAAAAAAGGGTAACAGAGTAATTTTTCTTGCCTTTCCATATTCTACCTTTACTGGCCCCTTAACTTTGACTCTGTGAAGAACTATTGTGTATCATATTGATCCTGGGTAAGTAAGCTGCTTCCTCTTCTGCAGAGATGGAGTGGACAGAGGGGAGCTGTCTCAGTAAAATATCATTAGGTACCAAGATTGGGAAGTCCTTGTCTTTGTCTATTTTAACCCCACCCGTAAAGCAATGCACTTCTGAGACTTCTACCCAGTGTCCCAAGTAATTTGAAGTATTTCTGTTCTCATTCGGAGAAGGCAATGGCAACCCACTTCAGTACTCTTGCCTGGAAAATCCCATGGACGGAGGAGCCTGGTAGTCTGCAGTCCATGGCGTCGCGAAGAGTTGGACACGACTGAGTGACTTCACTTTCACTTTTCACTTTCATGCATTGGAGAAGGAAATGGCAACCCACTCTAGTGTTCTTGCCTGGAGAATCCCAGGGACGGCGGAGTCTGGTGGGCTGCCATCTATGGGGTCACATAGAGTCGGACACGACCGAAGTGACTTAGCAGCAGCAGCAGCCATTCTCATTAGTCTGTGAACAAACTATACTAAGCCATATGTGAACCCTGGTCCTTGTTCATCCTACTGTTTCTTGTGATCTCATGTGACGTCCTCCACAATTTAAGGATCAGGGCTTGGCCAAAGACTTGAGCTCACCCTTCTGCATCTCTCTGTGTGCATCTCTGTCATCTCTGACATTCTGTCTCAGTTTCTAATTTCCTTGGTCTCTCCAAGAAGTTAGTCCTAGTGTTTATCGCTTTTTGTTTTTCTTCCCTCAGGCACCACAGTTCTATGCTGCCTGATGTTCAGCTGCCTGAAAAACAATTTAAAATACACAAACACACAATTATATACATATGTGTATGTATATATATATGTGTGTGTGTGTGTGTACATATGTAATATAATGTGTCCAGTTTTCTAATTGTGGCTAAAGAGCAATGTTCATGCATTTAATCTTTTTATGAATGAAAGCAGGTGAGGTTCCATGATTAAATACCACACAAAAACAACAGAAGAGGGAGATGTATAAAGTAGCAGCAGCTTTCCTAAACAGTGTCGATGTCCTGAAACATGGAAAACAAATTTTCACTTAAAAATTAGCAATGAGAAAAGAATCAAATTGAAAATCCCATATAAAATTATAATAGAAAAGGATGGGGAAGAGGATAATGTCCTTATAGAAAATAAATGCATACCAGAAAGACATGCTCACAGATGAAATAAAAACTATAACCTACTACTTCAAAATGAGCTAAATGACATTAAGGAAATGATGCTAAACATGAAAGAACAAAGGAGAATAGATGAGAAATAGGAAGGCTTTGAAATGAAATGATAAGAATTAAGAATGAACGTATATACAGAAAAGATCAATTTAGGAATAAAGAGTAAACTGGAAGGAACACAAAAGAATACACCGATACTTTAAGAGAAACAGAATTTGAAGAGAGAGATGCAAAAACAGATTAACATGGTAAGCCAGATGAGACATTTATCCTTAGAAAACCCTACTTCAAGCTTGACTCTTGACTGGCATCTGGGACTTGGTTTTGGGGCCGGTCTTCAGCATTCTTTGGTAAGAATGACTCCCTGTGCCTAAACCATTTCTGCAGACAGTATGGTTTATGTTGGACAACTACGTACTTTCTGAGAGCTGTAATTTTGGCACCTGCCCAGGAGCAGGTGCCTTTGTAAAAACAGCCCCCAATGAAAAATCCTGGGTGCTGAGTCTCTGATGAGCTTCTCTGGTAAACATTTCACATGTATTGTCACAGCTCACTCTGGGATAGTTAAGTGCATCCTCTGTGTTTCTGCCAGGGGAGGCCTCTTGGAAGCTTGCCCTTGGTTTCCTCCAGGCTTTGCCTTGTGTACCTTTGTGCTTTTCTGATTTTGCTTTGTATCCTTTCACTGCAATAAATCGTAGCTATATGACTGTATGCTGAGTACTGTGTATTCGCCTAGTGAATCCTTGGGGATCTGTTAGTCATCTTTCTTATTGTTTTCTTCTCTAATATGCTTACTGGTAGTATTTAGGAATGCAAAGATATTCATTTTAATTGCAAATAAATTAGAAGTGAATTTATAATAGAACTGAATTTTTGTAATATGATACAATTTCTAATTTATAAGTTAACCATCAAAAATTAGACAAGTAGTGAATGTATGAACTCTGAAAACTATGTAGAGAATTATTTTATACTATGGATTTCATATGTAAGATGGTGCATGTGGTAGGTTTTTTTTTTTTCTCTTTTCATTTTCAAATACTATTAACAGTATTTAAATAGAATCTTTGTAAGGGATTGATCTTTCACAAAAGGTCTACACTTTTGCTGCCTTTGTCTGACTCAGAAAGATTGGTTTTCATTTTTTTAAAAGTTGAAATAGGAGTGATATGGAATCTTAAACTTCTTTGGCAATTTTTAGCAGGAATGTTTTTCTCCCATTATAAAACTTGAGGGGGAGAAACAACATCCTGTGAATTATTGTTGTCTGAAATATTAATGAAGTATTTTCCCATGTTACTTGGAAGATTTCTGTCGAAGTTCACACAGCGTGAATGCTAGCCAGGCCTTGTTTATAAGGTTTATTTCAAAGCACATCAAATTTGGTTTCTTCCAAAAGGATAAATAATTTAGAGTTGCTTAATCAGTGATCATTCCTGTCAGATTCCTAGGGAATGCTGGCAGATACATCCCTGAGTTCAAAAAAATATATATAATTCCTGTTGAAAATAGGCACCGACAGAGAAAATTTCTTTTGTATTTGTAAGGAAGAGTCCTAACTCCAGAGTACTTTATCATCCAAACATAGGAAACCTGAAAGCAGAGTTAGTTCTTTTAGTTGTTTGGTAATTATTGTGCCATAGCAGTCTGTCTAACTTAATATTCCTAGTGGTTGATCTCTTTTATTAAGATCAGTGCAGATGTCAGTGCTGCTGGATTATGGGTTCTTGATGCCAGCTAAGCATCCTTCAGTGTCTGAAAGTGATTAACACTTTTTTGACAGAGGCATTTTTGTTGAAACTTATGCCCGTGGCATTAATACATCTCTGGTCAATAATATGTTAAGGTACTCAAGTGTTCATTAATCACCCCTAGGATGTAGTTTAAACCTGTCGGGAGAGGGGGAAGTAAATGACTTTATTTAAACCTATGAGACCTGGTTGGATACCAACTCAGAGGCCAGGCTAGCAGTACTTCCAACTATTTTTCACCATGAAGGAGTATGAACATCTGTCAGTTGTATAGCAAATCACTGCCCAATTGTTTCTTCCTAAAAATAATGTTTTACATATTATTATTGTCTCTGGATGTTTCACATATATTTCTGGGCTTTATGACTCAAAGGAAAACAAAGAAACCCAAACTGGCCTCCCCATTGAAAGATGACAGACCTTTGCTGAGCATCTACTTTCTGCTAGACTCTGCAGGTGCTGCAAAATGTGTAAGGCATAAATAAACCATGCCTCCACGGAGCTTAGATCTATTAATAAGGAAGAACATAAGTTTCTGTAATGTGAGGCAGATTAACAGTTACAAGAAGGAGAGACTGGCCTGCACATACCTGCTATCAGTGTTGGAGTTGCCTCTGAACATCTTTAACAAGTCATCTTTTGGAAGTTAGGTAAACCTGTCACAGGTATATTACACTGCCAAAGGACAATGTTCAGTCACTAGGTAGTGTTCCTAATATGCAGCAAGTTATTTCTTTTTCAGGGCTCTGGGCCTTAGTTGTGGGAGTCATCTAGAAGTCAAGGCATCTCTCAATGAACACTGGCTCCTTGGCCATAATTCTAGGCTCTAGATTCCTGGATCAAGGCTTTCTTCCATCCCTGGCTTGGGAAACTGGACTTAATTTATATCTTATTAGGGCCATGATGAGTGGGATTGGTTTTATGATGCAAACATTCATGCTTTCCCTCCAAATAGCTTAGTAACCTGCTGTTATTTTCCTTGCTTTGAAAAATGAGCCATCAAGTCTATAAGTGCTGTGGATAGAAATGTCAAAGGACTGACTTATAAAGGAAATTAATTATTGAATTAGTAATGCATTGATTGATATATTTTTTAACATGAAAGACTAACAAGGATGCAGTTTGCATTGTGCATGCATTTAGTAATCACATTGAACTCAATACTCAAGCTTATTTGAAATTTACTGAACTTTTAATCTAGTTTGGGGTACTTAAAGGAGCATAAGGAAAATGTGAATTCTTTGAACTTAAGGAAATAATTTCTACTTTTTCAGTTTAGACTCTGTTAAAACATTAGCCACATGAATGTGTGGTCTTGATTATAGATAAATAACATTTGCACATATCAGAATGTTGATAAAGAGTTTTTAAAGTGTTTATCAAGATGATCTCATGCCAAAGAACAGGGAGGACATTTTAAAGCACCTTGACATATTTTTCTAGCAAATTGCATAGTTTTTCCTGAAGAGACACCCACTTGATTTCCTGATACTAAAAGACTGTGCTTGATTCTATTACTGGAAATTAAAAAACTAAAAAGCTGTTAATACCATTACTTCCCTTCCTTGTTTTAGTTTTTGGTGTGAGAACGGCTGTGCTTTCACATCGGCTTATCTAGAAGCACCATTCTTGATGAAAGACAATCTTCTAATGAAAATTGTTTTGGCTTTTTTTGGTTTGATTTCCTATCAGAGGGCTAAAACTTTTGTTGTAATGTTACTGGAATATTTCTACCGGCTGAATTTGTTTTTCTGTTTCTTTATGCACTTGCCTCATGGCTTTTATTCATTCCTTTACAGGAATTTTAAACAGTTGTCAGGTGAAATGGAGTTCATGACAATTAATGGAACAACATTAAGGAACCTGGAAATCCTTCAGAATCAGGTCAGGCAAACATAAGGGCTATTTGATTCAAAATGGTTTTAAAAAGAAATGTGGGATGAAGCAGCAGTCTGTTCTTAGCAGTGCAGGTGAAACAGTATTGTCTTCAGCTGGCTGGTCTGCCTCACATCTCTTGGTAATTGTACTGCTCACTTTTTGGAGAATCAAATACATGAAATTTGGGGATTACATTGGGAGCTTTAGAGCATGCTTTTTAATGATTGAAGCAATATGGCTGTCCTGATAATTTCTATATTAAATATTTGTTTGGAAAGGTACGAAATTAATATACAGTGGGTTTTTTTTTTATCTGCTTGGTTATGTTTTTCTACATATGTTTGTCTTCTACATAACTTTTTGTCAAAATGTTCATAGTCTTACTTCATTGTCCAGCATATAAAACAAGTTTCTCTGATACTCTATTTAACTGTAAGATACATAAAATTTCACTTCACGAACTTTCATCATTGCTTACTTGCCTTTATTGATGAACGTGAAGGATAATAAAGACATTAAAATTATTTCTTTCATTCATTAAATTATCACTTGAAAGTGTGAGCTATTATATTGTAAAAATAATATTATTATAACATAAAGTCAACAAAAATATAAAGTAGTTCCAAGTCATTTGAGTAAGTAGTAGAAAAGCTGAACCATCTGCTGTGAATCACTGCTATTGCTGTGAATTAAAGTAAATGCTGAATTCACTCTCCTGACTCTTGGATTTGTATATTACTGTCTAATTTCTCTCACTCAGGTTTCTCCCTCTGCCAGGTGTCTTTATGTACTGAAGTCAGCCTTCCTTTTATGCATGAGCATATTTATCATATCATTCTGTTATTTGGAAGTCGAGCATCTTTCCCGCAAGTCTTTCTCTTCAATTCTATATACATCCCCAAGACAGGAAACAAGTAGTAGGAGTAGAGCCCACAGTCAGAGCCTCCAGACGCAGCCCCAGCATTCCAAGATTTCCGTACTTCCACATCCTTCCTGTTCAGGTCCTATCACAGTGGCGTCAGTTCCAAAATCAGAGTCCTAAGGCAAAAATCATCCATCATTAAAATACCCTTTAAAAATCCCTTTCTTTATTAGGACTCAGGCCCTTGTAGAAGTGGAAGCTGAGGGTTAACATCTTCTGCTTGTCTTTGCACTTCAGCTTTCTCCCCCTTCACCATGGATCAGTGGAAAAGGGTCATGAGGAGAGGTCTGACTAGCAGAGAGAGCAAAGGTGTAACAGGCCTCCGGTCTCCCCGCCTCTCCCTCTCCTGTCTGAGCGTGCCTCTCCAATGATGCCGGTCATTGGAAAATGGTCCCCCGCCTCCGCGCTCTTCCTGGGACCCCTCACTCTGGTCCCAGCAGTCGGGCTTTTGTCTCAGGGTGGGATGGTGCAGTCGCCGATGTGGATTCCCCCATAGGTCAGCTGTGTGTGCCCAGCTCGTCCTCAGAGAACCTTCCATGACCACTGTCGTTCCCATGTGTGCCCTGCTTTAAACGCCTGGAGAGATTGCAGCACGCCTTTTAGAGTTGGCTTCTGCCAGGTGACAGCGTGTCCTCATGGAGTCTTTCCTCCCACACTTGGGTATGAGTGCCCGAGGGAGGGGCCATGTCCTAATATACCCTTGCCAGTCACTCCACTGAGCGCATGGGGGTGTTCTGTAAGTACCTATTTGTTGATAGAAAGGAAAAGGAAAAGGTAAAAAAAATTCAGATGAAAATTGTAACTCTATGTTCCAAATAAAACAAACCTATTAATAGACATTTGTATTACAGTGAAACCTTGGTTAAAATTAAATATAATCTCTAGTTAGTTGTAAATTTTTTCAATGGTTTAACTTTAAAGTAGCAAAGCATAGATAAATTTTTGCTAAAGATTTAATAAAACAGACTAAAATCAAACCCTCCAGGTGTATAGTCCTAGAGTACAGTACATGTTCACTTCTTTCCTGAAGAGAAAGAGTGTTGTCATGAGATTATCTGTCTTTAGAATGACAACTCTTAGGTAGTGGGAGATACTGAATTGCCAAAGGAACATGAAATTATTTTCACTGTGCTTTCCTAAGGCAGGAAAGGATGCAGTTATATTTTTAAGGTGTTTAGGACAGATGTTTTAAAAGAGACTTCTCAGTAATTTATTGTTAGTTTAAAACTACACATAAACTGTATCTTATGCAAAATGTCAATACTTTGTGTGTATTTATATGGATGTGTATATGTGTGCATGCGTGCTAAGTTGCTTCAGTTGTGTCTGACTCTTTGCAACCCTGTGGATCTTAGCCCACCAGGCTCCTCTGTCCATAGGATTCTCCAGGAAAGAATATGGGAGTGGGTTGCCATACTCTCCTCCAGAGGAGCTTCCTGACCTAGGGATTGAACCTATGTCTTTTACATCTCCTACATTGGCAGGCGGGTTCTTTACCACTAGTGTCACCTGGGAAGCAGACTGTGTGTGTGTGTGTATATGTATATACACACTCACACATTCATTCATCTAATGTATGAACACCTGTTTTGAGCATAAAAGCTAAGCATGTGTAACATTATAATTGGGGTATATGGAATAATTAGGGCACATGAACAACTGGCAATTTTGGTCCAAATACAGTCATTGAGTTAATAAAACATGCTTTCTGGTCTTTTTTAGACTGATATGAAAACAAAAGGAAGTTTATTTTGGGTTTTAGACCATACTAAAACTTCATTTGGGAGGCGCAAGTTAAAGAAGTGGGTGACCCAGCCGCTCCTTAAATTAAGGTAAAAGTAATTCTTTTTTGTGTTTCATCTGAAATTATATAAAATTATAAAATTAAAGGTACATTAACCTCCTTAAAACCAAGGTCATCATGGTTTATAAGAACACTATTTTCAATTGGGGAAGATTTCACTTTGTAGCTGGGGATAGACTGTCTAATATCATGAGGATTTTTTCCTTGTTCCCAAGAATGAGTCTTTGCAGTTGAAAGACATGGGATCTGCCTGGGGAGAGTGAGGTAATCAGTTGGTTTGGGTAATCAGTAGCACAGGGTGTAGGGAGAGAGTGGCTGGGAAGATGGGGCACTACCTTTTGTCAAGGGCTTTGCAGGCTGGGCTGAGGAGCTAGTAGCCAGAGGAAGTTAATCCAGTTGTTCTGCTCACGAGAGTGATGGATCAGAGCTGGCGGGTGTAGGGGGATGGAGAAGTAGTGATGGGTAGGGGACAAGTTAGCAAGTTCACGGAGAGGTTCTGAGAACTTGAGCTAGAGAAGGAGCAGTAGGAATCTGAAAGAGGGCTTAGGTGTGTTTAAGAGAGTAGAATGAGTAAACTCAGAGAGCTTTCAAGGAAAGGTAGGTGAGTCTAGAGCCTAAACACCGTGGTCTCCAAGCTTGTCTGCACATTGAAGTCACCTGGGAAGCTTCAAAATACTTTACACCTATGTCCTGCCTCCAGATATTGTGACTTAATCGGTCTCCAGTGTGGCCTGGGAGTTGGAATTTTTAAAAGCTCCCTAGATGATTCTGACATGCAGGTAGATTTGGGAGCTGTGACCTGTGCCTCTCACTTAGTAGGAGTCCCAGTAACATTGACTGAATGACTGAATGCTGTTATCTATTGTGCTTTTGCTCTGACCCAGTATTTAATGCTCAAACCATCTTCTGAGGTAGATCCTTGAAATGAGAAAGGAGATTCAGAGAGCCTCAATAACTTGCTCAATGTTTCACAACTGGGCAGAGCCTAAAGGGAAGATCAGCACTGACTCCATCCTGAAGAGCTTCCCATGTGGACTGAGCAGAGAGGGGGTGGTGCTCGTGCTGTATGAGTGGGCTCTGTCGACTGAGGCAGTCTCACTAAGGCCTCAGCCCGTCAGCCCCTGGCCCACCGTGTTCTCACCTTTGCAGTAGTACAATACCTTCTCACAGGGCTGCTGTAAGGAATAGAGTAAGACAGTAATCCTAACTGCCATTTTTGAGCTCTTTATCATATAGCAAGCACTGTGCTAGGGGCTGTATGTGCATCATCTCTTTTAAACTGCACAACAACCTCACTCATGGCTGCATTTTATGTTGGCTTAGTAAATAGCCATCTTTGGCAAGGATAGCAGATGTTGTCACTGTTGGTCATAGACTTTAAAATACTGTTTTGATGATGATAATTACTAAATCACTTAAGGTTTTAGTGGTTATTACGATTTATTTTCTTGACCAAAGAGACCTTCAGGTAGTGGAAACTGACTAGGTAAAGATGAAATTCTGAAAATGGAAGTCTCTGCTTTGGACCAGGATTCATATAAGATAAAGATGCTTCATGGAACACGAGCAGACAGTCTGTGGACAGCAGTATAAGAAGCATTGCCTTCTGGCTGATGGAAAGGCATCTGTCTAAGCAGCCACACCGTTCTTACTATTTTTTTTTTTTTGATTGGTTGAAATATTCAGCAGAAACAGACTTACTAGCAGACTTTTTCATGTAAATGAAAATTTTTATTTCTGTTGTTAAACTTGTTTTGTATAAAGAGGATTAATTTGAGATGAGTTCAGTAGACCATGTTGTATGTTCCTTGTGGGTTGATCATATTCTTTCTGGGATCCTCTCTTCCCAGAAAGGCTGAGAAAAAGCACTCCATGCAATGAGCTCCAGTGCTTTCAAGTACGAACATTAGACCAACCTGAAGCGTATATAGCTGAAAGCAAGCACGCAAAGCTGCTTCTTTTGCCCTTTTAATTTTAGGTCATAGTTTTAAAACTTTAAGCTGTCTACTCAATTAAAACTGACTTCAGAAGAATTTCAGTTAAATCTTAGTTGCGCTTGCAACCTATTCTAAATACCTAGAGAAAATCTTCAGCTGAGAAGTCAGTTGTTCAGCTGTATAGTCATTGTTGTTGTTGTTTTAATGCTAACATTAGGTGCCATGCTGATCATGTCAGTTGTTTATCCAGGCTAATATTCTGTTTCTGACATTGGCAACCAAAGGTTAGTTTAGGGCTTAGTTTTCTTCTATTGTGAGATCGTAGAAAAATTTTTGGTGACAAGGGAATTCAGCACGATGTAAGGTGGATTTCCCTGTTTTTCAGGAGCCCATTATTTGTCAGTCATCCATGAATTCTCTTAAATCCCTTTATATTTTTATAAATATATACATATATTTTATATTTTTAGTCTATTTTAATTCCAAGGGCAATCAGTTCATAAATTCAGTGCCAGGTGTTTCAAGTTTCAGAGGATTTTCCACTCCCACTACTTTTTATTCTGCAAAATGACCTCTTTGGTGCAGGATTTTCTAGTGACTTTCTAGAAAGTATAAATGGTTTTGACCCTATACTTATTGACTGATTCAAAGAATTCACTTGGGTTATTGAGATCAAATTTTACTCTGTTGAAACCACATTGGCCCGTATAGATAGGTTATGCTTCTTGTGTATTATGACTTATGCTTTTTATCAGTTCTCTAATTTAGGCAGGAAGCTTCTTCAGTGTAGGTCTCTGGTTTCTTATAAATGAATGTCATGTTGGTAAGCCATTATTCCTAAGACCTTTTAAAATTAAATAAATTATATTGAATTCATTTTTTCAAGGTCCCATCTTTGAATTTCTTCTGTTTCTTTTGATGAGTTGTGTCAATCTCATATATATATATATGTACATATGTGTATATATATATCATATGTACCCTATAGGTTTTGTCCACAAATTCCAAAATGCAAATTCTGCTTGTAAATACAGTAATGATTGGGCAGGTAGGAGCAGGGGAAAGAAAACTTTGAGAAGTGTGGCACGAGTCTCTAAAATGATATTTTAGGCAAAAGATTAGTTTCCAAGGCAGATCTAGTCATCATAGAAGTAGTATTAAAGATTCAGTAAAAACTTACTCTGTATTTTGAAATATTAACAAAAGTAAGTTCTGGCTTTCTCCGTGATTACTTCTTTTTCTGTTATTGTTTAGTCACTAAGTTGTGTCTGACTCTTTTGCAACCCCATGGACTGTAACCCACCAGGCTCCTCTGTCTGTGGAATTTTTCAGGCACTAGAGTGGGTTGCCATTTTATTCTCCAGGGGATCTTCTTGACCCAGGATTCAAACCTGCATCTCCTGCTTGGCAGGTGGATTCTTTACCACTGAGCCACAAGGGAAACCCACCTCTTTTTTTTTCCCTGCACCTTATATGTTGTTGTTACCTGTGGTTCTCTTCTGGGGCATCTTCTCACTTTCAGCACTACTTAGGATCTTACCTGTGGCCATGGCACATCCTGTAACTTCGTGTGCTCATGGCTTTGTCACCATCATCTCCCCCACTTCCAGACCCACACATCCACTGGCACATCTCTGCCTCAGGAAATGTTCCACATGAGTTGCAAAAGAAATTGGAAATAAGATATTTCCTTCAGTGAGAGAGTGATTTCTTGGAAATGCAGCTCTCATGTGTGTGTGTGTGTGTGTGTGTGTGTGTGTGTGTGTGTGAGTGCATGCCCATACAGGTATGCATACACACTTTTATAGAACAACAGATTATTGACCACAAAGGGAACCTAAGAAATCAGTTTCTCCACTCTTAGTGGAGGAATTATTTTGACTAATGATGAAAATAGTCTCTCTGTAAGAAGTAGTATTATATTGTCTTGCCTTTTTGTAAAATCACTTTTTATGAAAGACACTCAGATGAAAGCCTTTTTGTAAAGACTTTTAGTTTATCAAGAAAGCTAATATCTCCACCCGTCTGGTCTTGCCCTTCTCTGTTTCTGTCTGCACTACCCAAAGATGATTAAAAAAAAATGTGTATCTGATTATGTTTTGTTCTCCACTGTTTACAGTTCTCACAACACACTGAGGTGTAATTTATTTCTGGACCTTTGTACAGTCTGTTCCCTTTTTCTAAAATGGAAACTACTCATTTTTGTTTCCCTCTTAATTTCCTGGCTGCTTCTTCAAAGTTTTCTTTGCTCTCTGTTCGTCTTCTCTGTATTTATTTTTAATTTGTTTTTAAAGATTTTCTCTTTTTTTTGATATGGACCATTTCCAAAGTCTTCATTAATTTGTTACAATATTGTTTCTGTTTTATGTTTTGGCCTCTTTTGGCTGTGAGGCATGTGGGATTCCAGCTCCCTGACCAGGGATCAAACCCACACCCCCTGCATTGGAAGGCAAAGTCTTAACCACTGGACCACCGGGGAAGTCCCTTTGTGTCTTTAAATGTTGGAGTTCCTGAGGTCTGAATCTTAGGAGCTCAGTTTTCTTCCTTCTCTTATCCTTCCTTCCCCTTCTCTTTCCAATGAACTTGCCTAAACCAGTGACCCTAAATATCAAAATGTCAGTGATTCTCAAATTTATGTCTTTTGTCCTTACCTTCCTCTATTCTCCAGGCTTACATATTCAACTTAGACTCCTAACCACATAGGTGTATCACAAGCATCTCAAACTTAACATGTGTAACCCCTATTCCTCCTTCTGGTTTCCCTGTTCTAGGAACCAGCCCCTCTATCTCGTGACGTACTTGGGCCAGAAACCTGGGAGTTACTCTGGACATTTCCTTTTGACAACCACATCCAACCTAAGTCCTTTTGCTTTTATCTCTAAAATATATCCATAGTCTGTACATGTCTGGCCATTTTGATCACTATCACCCTGGTCTAAACTCTCAGTAGCTCCCCACTTGGGACTGTTGCAATATCCTGCTAACCAATCTCTCTTTTTAAACTATTTATTGTGCGTTAGGCTTTAGCCGATTAACAGTGCTGTCATAGTTGCAGGTGGACAGCAAAGGCACTCATCCGTATACATGTATC